AGGAGCATTGCATAGACCAAAGGGCATCATTACAAACTCCAAGTTAACCTTATATTGGTGCTATCTTAGGAGGCCTAGCACAGTTTTCACGTGCTCAGTGTGCTCCTCTACAGTCCTACTGAAGATAAGAAAATTATCGAGGACACGATGATAAACTTGTACAAGTAGTCATGAAATATCCGGTTGATCACATGCTGGAATGTCCCAGGAGCATTGCATAGACCAAAGGGCATCATTACAAACTCGTACAGACCGTACCTGGTTTAGAAAGCGGTTTTGTGTTGATCCTCAGGTCTAATGGCGATGTGACGATATCCAGACTTCAGATCTATCTTAGAGAAGTACCCCCATCCCTGCACTCTATCCAAGAGGTCATTGATGCATGATAGGGGCTCCGCGTTCTTAACGGTGATGGCATTGAGGCCCCTATAGTCAATGCACATCCTCAGGGTCGGTCCCCCCTTTCTTTGGGACAAATAAGACGGGTGCACCATACGGAGACGTACCTGGCTGGATCCAACCCTTCTTTGTGACCTCCTTGAGTTGGCAGCGGAGCCCATCTTACTCTGCAGGAGACATCCCGTGTATTGGCCCTCTAAGTACCTTGCTACTCGGAACGACTTAAATTGCGTGGACAATCTTCCTTTCTACCATACCCCTAGGCTCCTCAAAGAGGTATGAATATTTTGCAACGACTGCTTCTATCTCTAGGGGTGCTTTTACAGCCTCCCCTTTCTTAGAGACAGACTAGGTACATACCTTCCTCACGATTTTGCTTGTAGTAGTTGTAGAAATGCGACGCACACATGCAACCATAGTTCTCCACTAGTCTGCTAGCCTTGAACTTTTGCAGCCTAATGGTCCTTCCATTTGGCAACTTGTGAATCACCACCTTCTTATCCCAATCGAATTGATGCTTAGCAACCTCGAGGTAGTACATGCCTAGCAACATGTCAAATGGCAGCTCGTCACTCACTAGGATCGAGATCTTGTGTCCTAGTTCCCCTCCTCCAAAGGAGAAGGTGTTGACTACATCCTTCACATAGTCTTCAGCTACCATAGAATGTTTGTTGGCTAAGGTAGATGCTACAAACGTGCTAAGCCGCTGCACTTAGTCCCCCAAGTGCAGCCTATCCACACAAGCACGGCTGATGAAATTTCGCGTAGAGCCTATGTTTGTGAAACCACCACCCTTTCGGCCACCTCTATTGACTTGTACCACGAATTTTTCACCCTTTGGACCTTTGTTCAACATCGTTCAGTAGTCTCTAGGGTCTTTCTCTCACCACTCAGTCTCTAACTCCTCTAAGGACTCGGACACATCCATTGAACAAAGTATGGATTGGTTTGGATTTGTCTGCGGGGCAATCAAGTGGTCAATAGCCTTGGCCATCGTCTGAAATGGAAAGGGTAAGGTAATCATTTTAGCACGAGTAAGAGCGGCTAACACTCCTACTGGCCCGAGGTGTTTCCCATGAGAAGTGCTCGCAGAAGCACTACCAAAGTTGGAAATTCCAACGGTCACTATCGAGGGTGGCTACCTTCCCAACGACCCACTTACTCTTGCACTTGCTCGTTGTGTGCCCATACTTGCCACAGTTGAGACAAGCGCCTCGTGCAACACAATCTTATCACACCTCGTACTCCAGACCAAGCTTCACCAATATGGGTGGTCCTTGTTCACCTTGACCCTTGGGCCAGCCTACCTTTTGCTTTCCGGCCCCCTTAGCCTTTTCTCTAATGTGATTGACTACTCCGCCCTCTAAAGTCTCCCCACTCCGATCTACCTCTTTCTCTTCCCCAAGGTCAGAGAAGTCATCAAACTCAATCGCTTGGCGGTCATGGTCAACGAATATGAGATTGCCCTTCTTCCTCCAACCATGAGGAAGTTTTTTCTTCCTTCCATCTATCGGTCCATGCTAGGCACTCCCAAGCCTAGCCTCTATGACTAGGGCTTTCTTGCTGAACGAGGTCAAGGCCTCATCGACCAACTTATTTTCGACATTTGTGGGCAGACATCACAAATAAGTTGTGAGGAGTACCTGCGGATCGTACCGCACGCGACGAACAACAATCAGTTGCTCTACGGCGTTTGTTACCTCGCGAATTGTCTGGTATCTCTTCGATCCCAAACTGGCCAACGAGTCGAAGGCCTCTTGAGACCCTTGAGGGTCATGCTACCTGTTGTAGACCAACTATACAAACTCCTCCAATGTTCAGGCTTGTGCCCAGCCATCGAATACTGTGTCCGTGCAGATGTACTACTCCGTTCAACCATCTGGCTGTAGATCCTTCCAAGAAGGATGCAACAGCAATAACCTCTTCCTCGGCCCTCGTGAGCTTGTGCCTCACATATGTACGCATAGTCCTCACCCAGGTATCTAGCTCCTCTTCCTTCTTCTTGTCGCCATAGAAGGGTTTAGGACTCAACAAGGGTATCTTGGGTGTCAAATGCATCACTTGTACAGCACCCTGTGCGTGCTGCATCCGTTGAGAAACCGGTGGAACACGCCACTGTGGCAGCACTTGTTGCTGCAGCATTAACTGTTGCAAAGGTTGTTGTACGTGGGACTGTCCTGTAGCGGCGGCCGCTGGATGGGGACGTGATGAAGGTACTGGAATCTGCCCACTACTACCTGCTGCTAAACTGCCTGGTGGGGGAATGCCAAACTCTGGGACAAAAGATGGTCCCGTTGGCGGCAGCGTCAACGAAGGACCTGCAACCGTAGAGAGAGCTACAGCAAGTGGCCTCACCGGTGGTCAAGGCGCCCGTACCACAGCCAAGATTTGGTTCTGGCCAGCTACTAACTCGGCCAACAATTCCTGTTGCACAGCCTGTGCTTCGGCCACACTCGACAGAGTTCCGAAGAGACCTTGACTCATCTAAAGCCTCCTGACCTCTTAGCTCCTGTATCCTTGCCCCTTATCTAGCTTTTCTAATTCTAGCCCTCTCCTTTCCTCAACTTGTTGCAAGCCTGTGCTTCAGCCACACTCAAAAGAGAGTTCCAAAGAGGCCTGACAAGAGGGTCCAAAGTTGACTCATTTATAGCCTCCAGACCTCTTAGCTCCTGCATCCTTGACCCTAATCTAGCTTTTCTAATTCTAGCTCCGTCTCTCCTTTCCTCCACTTCCTGCAAGCCTGTGCTTCGGCCACACTCAAAAGAGAGTTCCAAAGAGACCTTACAACAGGGTCCACAGTTGACTCATCTATAGCCTCCAGACCTCTTAGCTCCTGACTCCTTGGCCCTAATCTAGCTTTTCTAATTCTAGCTCTCTCTCTCCTTTCCTCTACTTTCTGCACTAGCGTCGTAGCTCTGCGTGGAGTGCTTTTGTTTTCGCAATCTCGTAATCCTCATCTGACATGGGTTGCTACTGACTGACCTGCAAGTTAGCGCTCCGACTCATGGTTGGCCCTGACATACTCGAACTTGCACCTGACGAAGTGGCCTGAGAAGAGGCATGTGACATAGCAGAGACGGTAGCCATGGCTGCCTCTGCGCTAGCTCTAGCTTCTGCTACTGTGGCTGCTGCTAGTGACTTCTCAGCATTGGCTGCTGCTTCCTTAGCCCTTTGCAATACGCCCCTCTCTCTAGCTTCTCTCCACAGTATCTTTTCCTCTCCTGATTCTAACACCAAGAAAGTGGTCTGTCGACTGTGTGCTGGAATCTTTCTTCCCCTGTATCCCTCTTGAGTAGTCACTTTGTGTCAACGTCCTGAAGCTTTGGTTCAGCGGTGTGTCTGAAGGTGTGCAATCAGCCCACCCCTGTGCCCCAAGTTAATGCAGAACTGGCCAGCCCCGACCGTACTATTTTTATACTCGAGTACAGCACGAATCGTGTATCCCCGCCGGAATCTCTTTATAGACTGTCTGGTACTCGTCTCTCCCTCATAGGCTGGCCTGCCCAACATGACCTCTACAGCGCAGCAAGCATACCAAAGGACAAGCAGCAAAGCATGCGTGTACTAGTCTCAGTGCGTTGGCATGGTGACCGTGACCCAAGTGCTTTCTCCAAGGCCCTTCAGAGGCAACGCCCGTCTCCCACCAGCATGCTCCCCAGGAAGAATGTCCACTCTCGAGGTTGAGCGCTCGCAACACCTCACAATGTTAGGACTCTCAAGACAAGACTCCCTTCCTCACGGTAAGAAGCAACGAAGAGGGTAGATAAGGTAAACAGCAACGTACCTCACAATGCTGCCCCCCACCACAGATTTCTCACCAGTAATCTGATCTGCATTTATGATGACCGGTCAATGCCTCGGCACAACCCACAATACAATGCAGTTCCACCTCGGCTTAAACACCACATCAGCGAGCTCTCATCATCCAGTGTGCACCCCTATGTGACCACATAGCCTTCCTGGTGCACCCACACGACGCTGGGCCGCCAACAAAATCCAATGCACAAGCTGCCCCACTATATCCAGTGAAGCACCAAACAGCTATTGCGAAGGAGCCAGCGGAGCAGCTCGAACCAGCTCCGATACCAAATTGCAAGGAAAATGAGCAATAGCGAAATGACAAAATTCCAGAATGCAAAATCACATTGAAAGCCAGAAAGTCGAACGCTGTCCAGAAAGCATATAAGCACTGATATTCCACTAACGCAGAACCAAAGCACCGAATCCAAATGTCCATGAGAGCATACTCTCACCACCACGAATACTTGGCACTCAGCACTACGATCACAGAATTCCAGAATGCAAAATCACATTGATCGAGTGAACCAAATAATCTGGTAACTATGTCATGAGCCTAAGATTGATTGGTTCGAATTTAAATTACTTAATCCCTATCCGGCAGTTAAAAATTACAGTCCTGAATTGTGTATTTAAAAAAAAAAAAAAAAAAAAAAAAATCCTGAATTATGTGAGGCCAGTCAGTGACAGTTCCGTGATCCGACAATGACCATCACAATAATTTCATACTATCATATATAGATTTTTTTACTTGTCACAATACTTATGGAGTTTATGGATATATATACATATATATACCCTACCTGTGTGATGATACTTGCGCGGGACACCACCAACGCCCCAGTACTCTCCAACCAAGTTTAGATCAAAATAGTAAGACGCTACCTGTTACAAATTTAAGAAACAAAAGAAACAAAGAACTGCACAGTCATTTTTTCAGCAACCAATCATCCACAGTTTGCAGCACTTTCTTGATCCATTAAACCACCAGTACCTCGCCCAGCCTGCAAAAATTGCCGCGGCCGTTAACACGCCGCGACTTTCGGGGGCCCACGGCCGTCGAGATTTTCCATCGACGGTCCTCAACGAGGCGCGGGCATCCAAAAGTTGTGGTGAGGGGCCTGCGGCCAATATATGCCTGAGGTACTACTGGTGGTTTAATAATTATTCTCAACTTGAGATTTAATGCTTTCAATTTCTTTTGACAGATTTGTACAATTGTCAGAGTAACTCATAATATATATATATTGTCACACTGTAAAGCTGAAACAGTTTTCACCTTTGGCAGTAGCCGATGCAGATCCCAGGGGTCGATCCCTTGACCTCAGCTTACCTGTGTACAGTATCTGCACAGTTCCCTGGAGTTGAACCCGTGACCTGCACGATAGCCAGTGGTAAGTAGGTC